CATGGCTGATAGCCGACCAGGCAAAGATAAATATATAATATATAATATATAATATATAATATATAATATATAATATATAATATATAATATATAATATATAATATATAATATATAATATATAATATATAATATATAATATATAATATATAATATAGAATATAGAATATAGAATATAGAATATAGAATATAGAATATAGAATATAGAATATAGAATATAGTAGATAGTAGATAGTAGATAGTAGATAGTAGATAGTAGATAATATATAGAATATAGAATGTATATATAGTATATATAGTATATAGAATATATAGTATATAGTATATAGAATATAGTATATAGAATATAGTATATAGTATATAGTATATAGTATATAGGATATAGGATATAGAATATAGGATATAGGATATCAGATATAGGATATAGGATATATAATATATAATATATAATATATAATATATAATATATAATATATAATAGATAATACATAATATATAATATATAATATATAATATATAATATATAATATATAATATATAATATATAATATATAATATATAATATATAATATATAATATATAATATATAATATACTCACCTTAATGAGTATGATAATTTTAAAGAGATGCCTAGAGACCAGAGAAGTGTCAGCGAACATTTCAATAAACTGATAACAGAATTTAAATAAAAAATGAAAAAAGAGGAGAATTCAACTGGCTGCAGTCCTGACCCACCAACTGAAAAGATACCCTTCTTGAAGATAGAGTGGAGCTAATAAATTCACAACCAAAAGATAGTGAGAAAGCATGAGAGTGAAAAGGAGAAAGCCCTTGATGTTCTAAATCAAGCTTTGAAAACCTGGAGCATGCCTAAAGACCTTGTGATGATAGTGATGACAACGACAGTGGCCATATAAGTGACGATGACAAGTCGACTAAAAGGCGAAGCACAAAAGTATCATATTAAACAGGTGAGACCTTCAAGTATTTGGAGGTAAGAAGTGCACAAGAAGCAAGCATACGGAAGGAGGAACTACAGTTCCGTAAAGAGCAAAAAGAAATTGGCCAGGAGAGAATTCAGGTGGAACGAGCAAAGTTTTGAGCAGATGCAACAGCAAATTCAGCAAACAACAACAACAACAACAACAATGACAACAACAACAACAACAACAACAACAACAACAACAACAACAACAACAACAACAACAACAACAACAACAACAACAACAACAACAACAACAACAACAACAACAACAACAACAACAACAACAACAACGACGACCACAACAACAACGATAGCAAGAGCAACAACAACAACAACAACAACAACAACAACAACAACAACAACAACAACAACAACAACAACAACAACAACAACAACAACAACAACAACAACAACAACAACAACAACAACAACAACAACAACAACAACAACAACAACAAATGCTTAACCAGCATAATTTAATGATAGCCTTGTTGGCCAAACTTGCAAATAAAGAACAGTAATAAGATTGTGCATTCGTTATAAATTATGCATCCAAATTAAGGTCACCTTCTAGCACTTGATTTGCTGTCGAGTACTTGAACTTTTGTTTGGTTTCTATGGTATATTGCTATTTTCAGTTGATACTATCATTTGTTTGATAATATTTATTAGTTGTACAAATTGGAGACATATCATTTTGCAAATATTTAACATTAGAAAAAACAGGAATCTTAGTTGTAAGTCTATATTGTATTTTCAGGCTAAAAGGAGAGGGGGTGTGAAGAAATACACCCTTTTGGTAATTACAAAACATTAGTAATTTCTAGCCTGGGAGCCTTGGGGTGCTTTCCATTTGTACTTGAGATAGTTTGGTTCGACCAGATGGGCAAAGTGGTCCACATGCGTCTGAACGAGTTCCTTTCTTCCGAAATTATCGCAATCATAGACGAATTTTCGAGGGTGCGCACCACCCAAATTGTTTTTGCACACTCCTCCCCCCAAAAAAATTATCCCCCCCCCCTCAATCTAGGAAAATTGTCCCCCCTCCAAAAAATTTAAATGCTCATTGAGATAAATGACAGTATTGTGTTTTGAGCAGATTACACTAAAAACAAGGATTTCAAACTAAATAAGGCCGAAAATCCCAATATTTTCTAGGGGCTTGGTCCCCTAGGGTTGTGTTACCCTCAGGGCAAAATCTGAAAATCCATCTATGATCGCAATGGAATTGACCGTACCATTAATTAATGTGCCATCTGGAAATTTGGACAAATACTTTGCCAAGCAGTAGATTTGAAGTTAATTAAGTCTATTTTGTATGAAAGTAATAATTGTTTGAACCTCTATTTGATTATGAAGGAAGTACCCTTGCTCTCATTAGTAAACATGCAATGCAATTGGCTTCCAATTTTCAAGGGTGCGACTTACAAGCCAAATGACATAATTATCGAAGGGGAGTATTGGTAACTCACTAATTCTGCTTAGATAATTTGGGGTTTGAGATTAAAAATTCAGACAGACTTCTTCATTAGAACTATTTTAAATATTTCTGAAGGGTGGGTGGTTCTAACTGGAAATACTTGGAAGTGTTATTAACGTAAAAGCAAGTCAGGACATTTCTAAATAGAGCGCTGACTATATACTGTATCCCAACAGCACTCATTCCAGTCTTTAATTTTTTTTATAATCAATGAATTAAAAATAGTTTGCCACATCTCCAAATAGCCATTCAACAGATATTCACACTGCGCTCATCGCTTTGTTAAATGCTTTCATTTCATCTGTAAGCACTGGGACATCACATTGACAATACGGTCCCATGAGCTGTGGTCGTAGTGGATAGGCTGGATCGCCATACAAACAGAGATCATTAGCTGCTGGGTTATGTGCAACTCTTTCAAGAACTGTTAGAATGTTGGATTCTCGTAGCATTGCTGCATCATGTCTACAGCCTTCTACTGAGCCAAACAGGTTGCCAATTAGAAGGGCAAACCATTGGGATTTTAGGGCATTAACCCTCTTGTGGTCATTATATACTGATCTTTGGTTCTTATCTGTTCGAGATATGGAAAGTACTGTGGCGTCAATAAAACCGACACAGTTTCTCAGGGGGGCATACATTGTCTGCTATTGATCGACAATACCGTTCTGCCTTTATGGAGGTGATAGGAAAACTGATCCCAAGATGTTTGATGAAATGCATGGTTGTCGTAGATCCTGTGAAGCACTGTGTTTGAAAACATACTAAGTTTTGGTACTGGACGGGCGAACATCTTCACCAGATCAAAATAACGACAAGGATACGTAAGTATCCTTAATAGTAAGCAAAGACCTTCCAAACCACCAAAAAACCTCCCTTGTGAGCATATAAATCAATCATCAATTCTCAAACATTCTGCTAGAAAAGGAATATCCTCTTTGGTCACACGAAACTCGGCTAGACGTTCACTTGAATCAATAGTTTGTAAACAAAATGGCTGAAATTCTCAGTAAGGGTACAAAGGATTTACCGATTTGTACAAATCGTAAAGAATTGAGAACTCTTCCTCGTCCAGATATTCATCAGCAAATCCATAAACAAGGGCATCTATAACTTCTTGAAACGCCATTTTTAACAACTTTTGCCTGTTAACCGAATTCAATTTTCGTATATTAAGCATCAACAAACTAAAACCAAAACCTGAAATTTCGCGCCATTCAAGCTTACTCGTCTCAGTCCATCTACTATAAAAGAGTACTCGGCAAACCGTTGCCGTAGTCAGTAGTCTGCTATCTTAAAGTCCCTAACGCGAGTACTACAGAGACATCAATGCCTCAGGCAACAACGCCACAGACCTTAAAAACAATCGATTTCAAAAAAAATTAATAATTCAGAACAAGAATATATGAATATGCCCCACTTATCGATCTTTCGACACCTATGCGAGTGAACGAAGATATCCAGAAAGAGAAAGGAAACCACCTGTCCATAGGCGTCAAAATATCGATAAGTAGTGGGACATATTCATATATTTGTGTTTACAGACCTTAAAAACAATCGATTTCCAAAGAAATTAATAATGCAGAACACGAATATATGCCCCCACACTTATCGATCTTTCGACGCTTATGCACCTGTCAGACTTGAGTGGTGTTACGAACAGTTGTAAAGGTTAGGACGTTTATTTACACCATATTAAAGGAATACCGAATTGTTTTCCGTGCAGGATTGCGTGATCCATGCACTTGGGATATTGCTCGACTTTCGGAAAGCGTAAAAAAACACGAGCCGTAGGCGAGTGCATTTTTACCCTTTCCGAAAGTCGAGCAACATCCCAAGTGCATGGATCATGCTATCCTGCACGGGAAAATCATTTGGTAATTGTTTTATAAAATTACTAGAGTGAAACGACGCTTAACTTGATTAAAATTACTGATGAAATGTGCAGTTCTCACAACATTCGTGAATTAACCAATCAGAGAATACGCTATTGAAAACAACAACATATGTGAACAGAATTTGATTGCAAATTCGCGAAAATATACAGCGAAAATACAGCGACTTTTTCGATAAAATATACGAAATTTGAAATGGAAAACCTGCTAAACAGAGAGCCAAAGTAGTTTTGAAGATTCTCGACCGGAATGTGTGA